CAGCGCCCCGGGGCGGGATTGCTACCCTAATATATTTTTAATGGGAATAAATCCAATTGTTCGCTTGCCAGCGGCTCTTTAATCATTAAATATAAATAATATGTATTCAAATCTCTAAGCCTCTTAGGAAATAGCTACTTATCTATCATTTCCTTAACTCCCGTGCCCACTTCCACATTGAATGAGAGGAACCTCAAGCCAGAGCAGTTCAGAAAGTTGGTCGCCACTCCATGTAAATTTTTACTGTTTATAAGCCTAAAAAAAGATTATCAGGTTTCCCTATCGTCGCAATCTCATTAAAAATTAAGCTTGCTTTATTATGCAATAAATGAAATGATTCATATAGATGAGAATCATGATATGGCAGGATTCAGTTCGTGAAACTTTGGGGACAAGATAGCAAAAGTTTCTGCATTGGTGTTCTAGAATTATTTATGCAAAATGGGAATATCACACTTTATTCCCAATCAGATATCTCACAGATGAGTTTGTGTGACTATTATTGCTTAATTATTAATTCTTAGATTTGGGGAAATTAAAGAAAATACTTCTTAAGAAGTACTGTTAAATTCACAGATTTTATGTATCACCCACTGAAAGTTAGGCCCTATTCTAGGCCAGGAGAGTACACATCAGTGAAACAAGCAAAACCACCTCCCTCATGGAGTTTTCATTCTAGTAGGGAAGACAAATGGCAAACATAATATGCAAGCAAATACATTAAGAATCTTAGAAGATGTTGCTGCAGAGAAAAATAAATGTGGTAAGAGGTGATAGTGCAGGGTGGGATAGTTGAAATTCTAAATAAAATGGCTGTGTAGGTGCCACTAGAAAAATATTATCTGAACATAAGATGGAATACAATTCCTTCAGTAAGTAGGTAAAACACAAAAAGCACAGGGAAGCCATAAGCTCATCTTTGGGAAAAGAAGACTGACTCCAAGGAGACAGTGGAAAATCCATGGGCTGGGAGCCTGGAGCAATGAGTACACACTAGTTTTCTTCAAAGATACTTTCAGTTGGTTGATTTAAGAAAGAATAGATTTTTAAGATAGTTTTTAGTATAAAAAAATGTTGCTATCCCAATGTATGAGTCATGCTACAGTAATACTTAGATGGATATGTAGGCGAAATTTATAACTTTGGGGAGAAGAGTCCAAGTGTGTATCTTTAGTGTCATGGTAATAAGGACAACAGAAGGGGAAAAATGACATTAGGGAAATCACCTAGAGGAGAGTCTTCAAGCAGATATAGATGTGAACGCAGGGCCTCCATGGAAACAAGGCGTTCTCCCAATTTACACAAACTAGAAGAGGCTTATCCTCTAAAGAAATCATAAAGACACTCCCTGAGAAAGTAGACTAAGTCACATTTCCACTGTTACTACTTTTAGACCTCTGTGCTGGACTTATGGTCCAGATTTCAAAAAGGTGTAGTTGAAATATGAAGAAAGATTTTTTTGGCATATTGGAAGAGGAAGAATACTATTTAATAGTCTAAGACTAAAGAGATGGGGAGATGTGAAGTAAAGACTCCAAATAGCATCAGAAACTAAAAAACAATGCCAAACAAGATTGAAAGTTGCAATGTATGTAAGACAGAGCACCTTCCAAACTTGAACACAGCAAACAGCTCTGTAAATTTGAGTAAGTAGGCCTCAGAATAACCAGTAATGTCTAAAAACGCTTTCCCTTTGTGTGCATATTAGGAGACCCATTGCCTTGAATTTGAGATTTTGGAGTAACCAGGTGCCAAGTAGTCACATGTTGTGAAAGGAGGCAAAAAAAATATTGAGGAGAAAGTTGAGATCTCTCATAGGAGCAGCAAAAAAGTGTCAATTAAGAAAAGGTTATTCAAAATTTATAGGAGATAAAAATGTAGGTAAAATAAAATGACAGGAAAAAAAGATGAATGAAGAAAATGCCAGAAAGGCTACAGTTGTAAAATTCTGAAACTCCTTACTACTGGGGAATCACAAGGCTCTCAAGACTTGCTGTATAAAGTACATGATGTGATTCATTCGACTTGCATGATTTTTATGTAAAATTTAATTGGAAACTAACTTCAGCTCACATATGATGAGTAAGGTGCTTATAGGTGTCTCCCTCAGAGATCACACCCCAGTGAACTCATGTTTTGGAAGCGTGTATAAGGGCCAGTCCATGAATAATTTCCTTTATTCCCATGTCCGTGACTTATTCCCTTTACAGATCATGATTCCTAGTCCTGATGATTTTACCATCACCACATCGCCTATGGCTGCAGATGAATTCCTGCATGTTGGAATGTGCTCTAAATATATATTTAAGAACAAAAAATTAGCCTGCTTGGTTGAATCAAGCTGGCGGGCTGGTTAGTTTTATAGCATTAGGAGTTAGGAGCCATTCGAGGGGCTTTGTCACTCAGACCATCAGTGCTCTGGCCTTCTAATCCATTATCACAAAGGTGGCAACACTCTTGTGATAAACCCACCATTAGCAGTGGCACTGTCCCATTTATACCATTGAGACAGAAGCTGAAGGTGTCCAGTACAGTAACCACTAGTAACTTGTGGCTATTTAAATTTAAAGTAATTAAAATTAAATAAAATTTAAAATTCAGTTCTTCAGTCATTAAGTCACATTCTAAGTACTCAACAACCACAGATATGGAATCTCCCATCATCATAGAAATTCTGGCAGACAGCACTGATCCTCAGAGCTGCATGTTTTACCACAGGGGCAATACAGTGAGTCCTCACTTAATGTCATCCATAGGTTCTGTGACATTAAGTGAAACGAGATATAATGAAACCAATTTTAAGATAGGCTAATTGATATAAACAAGAGTAGAGTGCCTGTGGCATCTCATCAAGTAACAAAGGCATTCTGCACGGAATGACATTATTCCATCACCTGATGTACTGAGATTTTTGCACCTAGTAAGGTGTCACAAATTTATTCTTCTTCTGCAAAAGTTAAGAAGAAAATTTGATCGCTACTTAAAATGCAATGTGAACCCTGGTTTCGTAGGAAGAAGGACCACAACTGAGGCCAGTTTATTCTCTGAGCCATTCCTTTTGGCCTATTAAAAATAAGTTCAAGTTCTTTTTTAAATATATCTTTATTGATTTCAGAGAGAGGAAAGGAGAGGGAGAGAGAGAGATAGAAACATCAGTGATGAGAGAGTCATTGTTCGGGCCCACAACCCGGGCATGTGCCCTGACCAGGAATCGCCTGGATCCTAGACCCATGCTCAACCGCTGAGCCACGCCCAGCCGGGCTCAAGTTCTTTTCTTTTACAAATAAAGCTGCTAATCAATTCAGAAGGTTATAGAGTGAAAGGAGATCTGATTGGAGAATAAAGGGCGAGAATCTTAGAGAAACCAAGAATAGGGTCACTTTAAAGTCTTAATCTTTGTGGCCAGTCCTGATCTTATTAACACATGCCTTTCCTATAGGTTTTTATGCAATAAACATGTGGTCGTAAATGAGAGGGCTCATTTTTTTCCATTACCTTTGTACCTGAGAATCTTGAAACACTTTTATGGGCCAGTAAATTTTAGTGCTTGTTTGCAAACTATTAACAGGCTACAGCCAACTATTTGAAAGTACTATTTTTTAAAAGTCTGGGGTTGCTCTTTGCAAACAGTGACTAGGAAAGGAAGAATAGGGGCCTGGCTTCACTTTCTCTTTGCTAGGGAGCTCCCACTGCCAGTGCCCTTCTGGAGAGAAGAGCTGATTCTCTAAAGCCAACATCCAGGCTTTGTCCCAAACACAGTGACGACTGGAAAGTGAAATGGCAGAAGACAGGCTTTTCTTGGGCAACTGTGGCCTCTGTCATTTTACTCTCTGTGATGTGACCTCCACAGCCACCCTCCCTTCGGACTCCAGCAGCCCATTCCTTATAAATAACAGCTTGCAGAACCCTTTTTTTCATTGCCATACAACTCCATTCTCAACAAAATCCAGTTTGTATGTATAGATATAAGAATGGTTCAGCTGTGCGGCTTAATTTGGAATAACATTCTGTGTCCTTTTTTACTGTCTTATTTATATCTTTATTCTAGACAGCACTTGCCACATGGTAGGCACTCAATAAATACTTATTGGACAAATAAATTATTGTTAGAGAAATATATTTCTTTGTGCTGCTTTCATTAAAGCAGAATTAGCTTCCTATCAATAAAGCAAAATGAACACAATTTGCCAAGGTTCAAAATGTCCCCTTGAGATTTGTCAACATATTTTTTAGCAGAAGTCCCTTTATAATTTTATTTTCTAAGATCTGAAATTTGACAGAAATTAGGTCTTCTGTGGCCACTGTCCTGAGAATGTGTTACTGGACATAACAGGAAAGCATGACTGCGCATTTCACAATTTATGGTGCATTTATGCATTCAACTCATATTAACTAAGTGTTTTTCATGAGTTTGGCTCTTCCCCGAAGAGGCCAGTGGGGGAGATAAATGGGCAAACAAATTATGAGATAAGCAGAGTAATAGCAAAGAGAACAGGATGGTATGGAACAGAGCAAAAGGGGCTCACTCTGGCTGGGAACTGAGGAAGGGTCTGGAAG